TACCAACAATCGATGTTCTTACTCTTCCCGCTGTTTTCAAGATCAATTCAGAAACCTATTGCATAATTACTACAGTGGCACGATGCGAGCAGTTACTGTTGATGGGGCTCAAGCAAAATGACCCGACAGGGCACTCAACGGCGCGCATGCACACTTTGCGGATCACGAACACCAGCAGAGATGTTGTTCAGGCTAAGGAGTTCTAATCATTTTGGCTGGGTCATAAATATGCTTTAGCTGTAGTGACTAACCACGTTAGTAGAATTATTTTGAAAATTAACGGTTATTTTAAAGTGTTTTATCCTATCATGAAAAACGTAGGAAGTTTGTAGATGAATATATTTCTCCGGGATGACCTCAAAGATCGAACTATTGATGATCTTTTGGCCTTGTTGGCTTGGTAGGAGACAACGATAATACCTCAGACCAGAAAAGTTTTACTTTTCTATTTAAAGAGCTAAAGTCCCTTAAAGTCGACGAAGCAGGTTTTGTGATATGTGTTCAATATATTGCAGCAGCAATTTTTAATATACTGAGTACCAACGGCCTACCGCATCTTACTAGAAGTTGGATGGCTCAAAGAATGCAAGTGAGACGGACACAGGAATTATTGTAGATTTGTCAGTGCTCCCCAGAGGGGGTAGCAGTATCTCTAATAATGTTTTCGTGCTTGTATTTTCAATTTAGTTGCATTTGAAGTGGTTAAGATTTAATATCGGGCGTAAGAACACTTTTTCATACCGTGCGAGAAGCACGCCTTCTCAAGCAATGCTTAACAACAATACCGATCCTAAAAGTTTTATTTTAGCATCCCTAAATGTACCTGTCTATAGTTTAATGTTAGATTCACCTAATTTAGCTCGCTCTGTATGGTAAGGTAATTGCTTGGTTAGCTTTAGAAGGTCTGTGCTAGGTTGTTGACAAATATGTTGAGCAGTGAAGAACTTTTGGTCTCGAGACTATAATGATACAAGTAACTTAATGACCTTTTCCACCATATATCGGCCGGCTGTAAATATTGTAGATCGTCATCCTGCGAAAAAATCTCCGTGTACGCAAATAAGATTGTACGATATAGTACCAGCAGATTCTACCCCCTGCTGTGTCAGCATACATTAAGGAAGTCTGACAAAGCTCAGTACATAAGTATAGAGGTAATGAACCGTAGGTGCAGAGGAGCTTGAAAGGAACAATAAGCGTAAGCTGAGCGGACGGAAGTGAAGGTAAGTTTACATAGCTCGGCATCCCCTTAGCGCCTTCAGCAAAGACTCTTTACACATATCGATGAACAGTACCCGAGGCACTGACAACACTTTTTCTAGAATTTACAAATGCTTACTTGCTATTGCCCCCTTGCTTATTAAATAGATTCAAATATAGTTTTCATTTCCGGCTAATCCCCTACATGACCAAATTGTTAGGCAGACCAAGGGAAAGACAGCAGAGAGATCTTCATTTCTGTCTGACAAGGGATAATAACCCAGGGTAGAATGAGCTCCGCAGATGGATCGAACGATTATTTTATTGTAAGATATAATAATAATATAAAACTTACAGGATATGTTGTCACATTATTATTTTATCAAATAATTTTATTTTGAGCTGAGGGTTTCAATGGAACCTGTAAGACATGCGTAAATATATTAGACTGTTGAAAGCGAATCTGGCTGACCTTTGAAGTTAAGAAACTTAACGATGCGCCGCTAGAGTACGAAATTCAACCGGTAAAATATTACAGTTTTCTAGAAATATTTGAACAAAAACCGGCTGCGTTTATCTCAATTAGAGAAAAAAAACATGTTTTAGTCTCAAAAGTTACCACCGAGTGGTCATATTTTTGTTTTTCGTAAGCCACAATGTTGCGGAAATTTACTGAAGGTTGATGAAGCTATCAAGCAAAGAGACCCTTAAAGTACAGTACGTGAATGATGCAAACGTTTCAAAAGCGGAGATAAGAAGATTGAAGTGTCGGAAAAATAAGAAAGCATTGCCGCAGCCAAGGAGGCTTATAACGAAAAAAGGGTTTGAAATTTAAAGGCTCTGTCGGCGACCAAAACAGGCATCCTACATGTATCGTATTACAGAATTATAACCCCAACTGAACATACACAAAGTGTGTAAAAATTGAACGCGTCGTAAATTCAGTCTAGTTGATTATGCGTATGTGGTATTTCACGTGCAATCTGCGAAACTTATCAATAAAAAACCGGCCTAGAGCATACGATCGCCATAAATGAGGCATGGTTCAATCTCTACTGTCAGCCGGAAGGGGACCGGGCAAAAGAAGAGCGTCTTCCTAGAGCGAAATCAACTTCGGTGGCAACGTCAGTACTCGTAATAGAGATCTGATGTATGTGCTGTCATGAGATAACCGCCGAAAGTAAGACAATAACTGTGGCTCATTATCTTGAATATTTCAAGAGACTCACGAACCATTGGTACTTCTTGGATTGAACAAGAAAATATCAAGCGTTGACTCTATGCTATCACCCAGGTCCGTGTGATTGCGGGGCGTTGCATGCCCTAAAAAGGACAGTAGAGGATCTACGAGTATTCCTATCAGAAAAATATATTCCATTATTGATTTATATCGAGAAGCCAAAGAGACAGAAATTACGCGTGGGAACGCGAATGGTAGATGTGTGACCGCTCAGAAGCCGCCAGAGAGCTGTACAAGTATGTAAAAAATACAGGAGAGTACGTCAAACACATTAAGAAGTCAACATTATAGCCCAACAAAATTTGAATGTTCTCCGGATTCGATTATAGCAGCCTAATATGATTTGATATGAGCAAGGTCCCAAGGTGATATGTGCCAGACGATGGCCTCATAATGAGTCACAGAACTTCTGTTTTGAGTTTTATGTCTGGTATCACCATCAGACATTCCGTCAGATCGTTAAACCTATGCGACAACAACCTATAGGCGTTGAAGATGATATATTAGCTAGCAACTAGGGCCCTGACAATGTCCGAACTAACGTTTATATTCTTGGCCACAATAGTTAGCCATTTCTACTGGTGGCTCCTTTTGCGCAATGCTTCCGTGTCACCCATGCGGCTACGCCCTTCGCAGCTTGGGGTGTCTGCCTATTATGTGCGGCGCCGCCACCGCGCACCGTCATATTAAGACTCCGGTGCGTCCCAGAACTAAGTCTTTAAGGTCTGGATTCACGACATTCGTTTAGCTTTGTTCTCTATTAACTCATCTTCCACAAACACTAATAATTCAAGCCAGCCCTTCAAGCCTTTGTTTCAACGCCGGGCCTGCCACGGCGTCAGGCCACCACGTACACTAAGGCCTGATGCCGCTACCAGTACCAACGGTTGCTACAAGGGTCGCCTGGCTTTGTCGGCAATCTGGCCGGTGACGTCCACATTCATGACCTTGTTTCTTACCACCTGTAATCGAAAGAAACTAAACAGGTGGCAAAAATATATATTGGGGAAAACTGGCGGGGTGTTTGTCGTGACGCACATGCGTTCACCCGCTGCTTCCGATGCTAGACAAGTCAGTTTTTTCCTAAAGTAAAACAACCAACTCGTCAAGACGAACAACCATGAATCAGCTATTATCCTTTTTTTTTCGCGTTGGACAAGCCGGCACAGGAATCTTTAACTTCCGTTTTCACGCGAAGCCGACAGTTTATATTATTGCTGATTTTCATGCGACTTCTGAAAAATCCAATGAAGATCTTTATAAGCCAAACCGGAAGATCCTTATTAGAGTTTAGATTTACAGAGCTCCGAAATTTATCGAATAGAGTTTTTTGTACAGCAACTAAGAGCGCTTTTAGAGAACAAAATATATATTACTAGTCAAGTCACCTAGATAAGCTCCAACGGTGATTCTTTAAGACTTTCTGGGCCTCTTTGCACTTTACTGACTATTATGACAAGGAGGCCAAAGTTCATAAGAACGCATGGTTATGGCCTTTGGCCTAATATAAGTTTAAAAATCAATTCCAGTGGAATTTTCTGTACGTGACATTCTCGAGCGACAGTTTTCAAGTTTACACCCACCAATATTGTTTGTCATGCATCTATGATTAAAAAGTTATTCGCGGATAAAGGAAAAACATTTTGAAAATAACTAGTTGGTGATTTGGTCTCGAATTAAAGCTGTAGGCGTGTTGGATGGTGATTTTGCTGGAAAAGCATGAAATCTGATAAAACACCTCTATTGCACAGAAAAAATGCACGTTGAAATGCGTGTTTCTATTTACATACAGTCTTATAAGTAAAGAGAGAGAAAACACTTGGCCTGAGGGGAAAACCTGACGTCTTTGGAAAAATTTCCCATTTAAAAATGCAGCAAACGATGCCGAGGAACCGCACCTGCCATTATGAACAACGCCACTAAACTTAGTGAAGTCTCGATCGTATATTTATTTGTTGCACAACATCGCTCATCGTGCGCTAGTATGTACGAAATGAAGTTTCAAGATTGCTGCTATATGTATTAATTGGCTGATTTAAGTTAAAAAAAAATTATAGCTAGTTACATTAGCACCGTATTTGGAGCATTAAATGGCTGCAACTGAGAACGGATTTTTCGATTTTAAAGTTATGACACTCCGTTAAAAAAGTAAGTGGCTTAATATGTGGCTATGAAACAAGTTTGACTAATGCGTTCAATAGTATGAGCTACGTTACGTGTTTCTTAAATTTGCTCTGTCACGGTAGGTGTCTGCAAATTTATCTGATAAAAGTGTAAATAAACGATAAAATTTCAACACGATTAAACTGCGGCAATTGTCCTGAAAACACCACTTATGATCAGATGAGGAAACTTACCAACGGTAACTGTGCGCTTTTAAAAGACGATTGCTTAGAAAGAAGCCTAAATGCCCTCGATGATTTTGTATTTTAGGGAAGACCAAAAGACGTATTTCATAGTGTCCTGCATTTATTTTAACAGTGAGTAAAGCTACTTCTTGAATAGATATGTTGATTTCAATAATACTAACTGTATAGTTGTAAATTTGGTCTGTTCACAGATGCTGCAAACATTCGTAACGCGTTTTTTGCACATAAAGACGGGGATTGTGACGACGGCAACAGCAAAAGTTAACAACCATTCAGCAAAACTACAGACAAGAAAGTTACAGGCCGACCATTACCTTACGTCATGGCTGACCATCAGTATTGCACTCGTATCTGTACTTTATCATCAGTTTGTAACTGCACGATGGAGTCAACAGTTACAATTCAAAGGGGATTGGACATTATCGACTACGCGCTGCTCTCTGCCCCGGCCACTGTGCGACTGGTTCGTCTCGCCAGTGAAAGCTGCCGCAGAGTTACTTCCGTGTTACCGACTACCAAGGCAACCTCTATAGTAACCTTGAACGCTCTCGCTGTGGGGGAAACGTATTGATGTTGAAAACGGTGAAGGCGAAAAAGCAAAAACGAAGACCGAAAGAACTACAGCACACGTATCCAGGAACAACATTTACCACCTATTAGCAAATCGATATAGCCGTGAGTTTCCATTGTTCTCGTGGCAGCATAATGCACCTCTATAAATAAGTGCAAATTTGAAATCAACGAAAGCTAGTATAATATAATAAAGAAAACGTCTGAGATGCAAGCAGCAATGTTGTCTTCACTAAGTAAAAATGGTAGCTGTCTGGAGTTGGCTTTGGTGACGGCGAACGTCGGGTCAATCTTCGAAAATGTAAGTAACATAGGTAATATAAATATAATATTGTATAAGCTACAGATTATCTGATAAGTTGATCTACATTGGGCAAGATTACGAATCAAGGCCTGCTAATAAACGTATATCGCTTAGCTGCGTAAAATCCTATACATGCATAACAACGACCAAAATGTCATACAGAGCTTCTCATTTTCAACAATAGTAACAAAACATCATAACAATTTCTCGCGTTTGTTCTGTCACGCCATCAACAAAAACTGCATTCAGTGAAATATTAAATCCTATCAATTTTGTATACATTTTGTTCATCGGTTGCTAAATATAAATAGAAAAACTATTTCCGATATGACAATTGTCTAACGTGAATGCCACTGAATATACATGTAGGTTCTGGGCAATTGTTAAAGGAAATGTTCTCATAAAAATCTTCATAAACTGTTCAAAAACGTATAAAATTATAAGTTTTTAACATTCTACGTAGTGCTTAATTTTTAACGTCATACGGTTGCGTGACACTCTAGGCATCTTTGTGATTTCCAACATTATGGCAGCCATTATTCGCAAGCATGTTATGTTCCTGTATTCTTCTGTGAACTCATACTGTTTAAATACAGTGAATAAAAGCCAGTCTGTCTGTCAACATATACAAAAATACACCTATGCTATTTACATTTTTAACAGTACAGCGACTGCTGCGAATTACTTAAGTTTACCGCCCATTCGGAAGGATATTGGCGAATTACTTTCCGACTAGCAAGTAACTGCACTTCAATTCGGGGTGTCTTCCACGAGTCCGCCGTACCGGGCCTATACAAAGAGATCTCCCGTCACCTTACATCCTGCTGTGGTAATAAGACTGTCCGTGACCTCGGCTCTTCGCCCTGTCCAATGGAGTCAATATTTCCCGCTTTCTAACCGCAGATACGTTGTCGACGATATAGTTACCACTCGATATAGTTACCACTAATCATCATCGATGGCCTACTAGTTGACGTGCCGCGAAGTCTACATCGTTTGGTGAAGTGGGTGATGGTTCGAGCTGCGCCTCTTTCAGTCGAGCCAAATGGTGCCCATATTACATGGAACGAACACAGTTCATTGGGGGGCGCTCCCACCGGCAAATGCCAGACTTCTCAGAAGCGGGTGTCATCAAGCGATGCCAGCACACACACACATATATGCATCAAAAACATATAAGCGCAACATGTTCACTTATCAATAGTCTAAATTTCGTTACCTGAGGATCCTTTTACTTGAAGTTAATGCAGTAGTAAACTTGGTTACTTCTATTTGCTCATTGCCTATCATTGTGGTAATATCTCGTTACTTGAAGCGAGCTATCTAAATAAAGCAAAATGGACCATTTTCAAGTGCGAAATTGGTGAAAATAGAGTGTTCCGTTTGAATTAGAATCTTCTATAGAAATAATAAATAGAATCTGTAATCATGATTTTGCAAGATTTGGAGTCAGCAAAACAGGCAGCTGTGATTCACTCAGACAACAAATATTATTAAGAGATACTTCGTTGGGATAGACTAGAATCTTGGCTGCACATATGATGAAAGCATTCGCAAACATTTCATAACAAATATTAGAGGCAGTCAACTTGTAGACCGCCTTCTGTTCTTCGTAATCGTTTCTTGCGTGCCTAATCGTTATGTAACACCTATTTCTTTTACCATCGATGTGTCATTGATTTATAGGACACTGTACGTCGTAATCAAAATCCAAACCAGGCGGGCCAATTTTTAAAATGAACTAAAAGGTTGACTTAACATAAAAATTCTTGGCAGCAATAGAGGGGAATTCAGAGTAAAAAGATGAAATAACGCGATCAAAGACCGATGGATGGAAAACCAGGCCGTTCTTAGCACTAGCACTCTTCCTTCAGTTATACTCCGAACAATTTTATGATCCAAGTTACAAATACCGTTCGATCGAGATCTCGACGTTACCCTCAATTTTTTACTTGTTCGTGCGTACTTTCGAATTTTCTTCTCACACCGTCGAGAATGTGTAAGTCAATTTTTATTTCATACGTTCATTTTGGAAAGCAACACATCCAGTTAAGATTTTGAGTGTAATACAGTTTCGCAAATTTTACGCATCGATTGGCTCTCGATTGCTCAATAACGTTTGGGCCAGCAGAGATAATTAATGGGAAAAGAAAGTAACTTCAATTGCGGTGAAATTTAAATCTACGTTGTTGGTGTGAAATAGAATTTTCAGAGATATATTTAATAACGCGTCCTGAACTGTGTACGAATTTATGCAGGACGTTTGTGATTTATAAACGTGAGTTCTTCAGTGAAAGGTCGAAACCTTTCTCTAAAAAACACATTAACCTTTTTTTTTTTTTTTTTTATAAGGCTTTAGTGGAAGAGCTGCTGCTAAATATAGAATATACTGAACTGAGATACGCAAGGGTCCTTGCAAATAGGCAATTTCTATTCTCTAAAAATCGTAACCTATTTTTTAAGATGTAGTAAAAAAGCGGAAACGTTCTATCGGGCGAATACCGCGTTTGTTCGGGTTGTATCAATATAAATAGGCTCAAATAGAAGATAATATAAACCGTCAATTGATGAATTTGATTTTAACTTGTTCTGTACTCCGTTCTGTTATCCTTTTTGTATGTATGTTCGTGAACTTCATTTTTTTTTCATTTGACAAATCTCGAAATGAATCCACAGAACAGTTGAGAGAAAATGTGGCTATGTTTAATAGATCATTACGAAAAGAAAGTCAAAAACTGGCATAAGAAAAATTTACTCTTTACTAACAGTAGAATTTAAAATGAGCTCTTTAGTTAGAGCTGAGTTTAATAGCTTATAGATAAAATATTGTTCATTGATGAACCAGGACTAAAACTGGCTAGAGTTATTCATTTATTACAATGTAGTTATGAAGAAAAGTCTCGGTAGACAAAGCCAGAGGTGCTAATAATCAAACATAGGCTATAAGTTTTGAGTTCTATATCCGGTACTGCCGTTAAGCATTACTTCAAACGGCGTGCTGCCAACAGGAATCAAAGCGTGCGTACGTCTGGTTTCAGACCTAGACCACTACATGTCCCTGTCACAAAATGCCAACAAAATCTCAGATAACTTCAAACAATAAGCTTACGGGAGAGAAAATGCTTGTTATTAAAATTAAGGAATTACGAGCCCTCTATCTAAAATATAGTTCACTGAAGAGCAGTAGAGCGACGACGGAATATCATTGTCCATAATTGCACTAGCCACATTTATGTTTGGCGCTTAAGTCATCGGACATTACTTCCGATTACATTCGTGTTCATTTATACTGTCTAATATATAAAGTCTTTAATTTCTCTTCAATTTCTCAACTTATAAATACCAAGACTGATGAAGACTGAACACAGAGGGAATCTACCGTTCGAAACCATTTGCAGTAAGCATCCGGAAATCGTAGATGGGATTACGTAATACACACAACTTAATATTTTCGTAGCTATATAGCATGGTCTTTAAACACAGATTCGTGTGTGTGTGTAGTGCGCTCTCTCTTAGTCGAAAGCTGCTTTGGCCCCAAAATGTTCCGGTGAGATAGAATCCAATAAATACTTAAATTTGAGACAAAACATCCGAGCGACATACATAGTATTCGTCATTCGGTCGCAATTGTTTTTTTCTTATATGTGAAGCTCACTGAGGCACTTGGAATTTGATGACGCGTATTCGCCCCTGGACGTGCAAGGGATTATATGAGAATGAAAGAGGAAATAATAACAGTTGCGTATTTAGTCGTCGAATCTATAAAGACATAATTCTGTACAGTCTTTTAAAGATAGATCTACGATATAATCTTCTATCAATAGTGAACATTACCTATTAAAAGATAACGGAATTAGCGTCACAGATGCTTAGTTGTCTTCGTCTTTACGATAGTCAATACATTGATTTTTCACGATTCCTTTAAACTGCAATTAAAAGTAGTTGACTTTAGATACATGTTGTTCGTTTCGTTTTTTTTCTACCATTATATCTGTTAAAAAAAAAAAAAACGATGTTTTCTTAAGGCGTTACGTGTGGGCTAATTGTGCAGAACCAATACTGCGAAGGTCACCGGGGTGAGAGCGTTTCCGATTGCGTGGGGCTTCAGACGGAGTGATGAACAATCATAAGTTTCGATATTCACATTCTTCCAGAAGAAAACTGAATGGAATCTTAAGCGCAAATTTAAATTTCTAGGCGGCAATCGAATAGCAGTGGACAAAGGCACATAAATTCTGAAGTAAATCGTTTTTGGATCGTTCTTGGACAGATATTTATTATACTAGCTTTGCTATGCTGGAATTGCTAGCTATCCATGAAAAAAAAGGCTGCTTAAGTTGTTGGCAAAGTTTGCTTATAAATTTGATTAATTAAATTGTATTATTGGTGATTAGCAAAAAGGAAGATGCAGGAAGAACTGTTATAATGCAATTGAATGCAATGAAATAGTAGGTTTTCTTGTTTTTATTTTTTTTTTTCGTTATTAGTTCAGAAAACTCAACATCAATGCGTCAAGTGGAACAATATTTTGTCATGCGAAACCGCAAGTAGGACGGCCTACAATACAGGCTAGAGAAATCGGCCAAACGGACGCAAAGAAACGACCTTTAATAGCGCGACCGTATCTCAGGATTGTGATTATCAGTTCGTACTTTGCTGTAGTTAACAATTTATCTAGTATTATTACTTTATACCAAGTATTTATTTTTCGATTGCGATACTATCATCTTAAACATTGACTTTTTGATAAAATCATAGATAAACCCCATTCCGACTTGCAAAGATTGCTCCCGAATAACAAGGGGCAGAATGGGGGATAGTGCTAATAGTGTTAACTGCTTTGTTATCAATTAGAAGCTACTGTTGCAGATTCAGTAGGGTATCGTGTGTCCAATCTGTTCAGTTCCAGCGACGGTAGTCATTTTTTTGGTTATCGTCATCCTTACAATTGTTGTTGTTTTTTCACACTTTGAAGTGTCTGCCTCTGGGCGAATGATCAGAGTAGGTATGAGTACGTACATAAAAAGTGGGTTTACCTCACCTAGTCGTTCGAGCCAGTATCCGTGCTATGTGTCTTCAGTCTATGATGGATGTGTGTGAGGCCGTTCACAGCTGTGTGGGCAGCGATTTATGCTGATTGGCGATAAAACAGCCAACCTGTCTTACGTTTAACTAAGTAAGATCACTGAAATTGCTCATTTACATATTTTACTCCTTCAGCACTTCTGAAGACGTTTCTAATTTCGTCGCATTCTATAGTACGCAACAGCATCAGATAGTAGTTGAAGGTGTGAAACGTTGTCATTGGAGTTGGCATGATCGAAACGATTAAATAATCTGATTGCAACAATGTGAAGATACTGTTGTTAGTTTATGATGCAATGAGTCCCAGTACCATCTTGAAGGCGTTGTATAGTAGCAACAATAATGTGCAGTCATGAATAAAGGGGTCTTTGTTCCATTCGCAGTCTGTCCGTAGAACGTTTATCTGGGGAACTAAATCGAACTCGACATTTTTTGCCATCAGAGAGAAACAAACGATCGCTAGCCTTTACTTACGCTATGATCGGTATTTCCATTGTAACTATAATTGCGTAGCGAACTCTAACGCAACTGAATGTTTGTGGCATCCGTAATACGATGTCTTATTTTTTTTTTTCCGTCATAATTGCTGCCAATAAGAAAATTGTGAACTAAATTTTCGGCAGTGAAAAAAAACAGGCACATAAGGGAATTTTACGGGGCTGGCGCATTTGCTCATCCTACTCTATTAACATGCGACCTGCGCTGGTTTTTTTAAAGATAAGGTAAAGGACAATAGACGCAATGTGTCGGGAGCATTAGTAATGTTAAGGAGGAGAGGCTATGTTGGGTCGAGTACATGTAGAATATTACACTATTAAATAGATAAGTATAAAACTTGTTGTTGGTTGACTCATAACATCGTGGATGGCCAGCATGATGTGGAAAAAAAGTCGTGAGGGTAAGCGATTGTTGGAGTGCCGCTGGTAAGTCTCATTTGCATAATGGACAGATTAAGCGTCTAGCAAAGGAAAAAAGAGTGGAGAGTTTTGCGAAGACTTAACAGAATCAAATGAGGACATGACTATTTACGAACCTTCGACCAACTACAATATACTGAGAAAAAATGGCCTAAATGCAAAGGTGAACCGTACATTCTCTAAGTTTAATAAGATTTCCTTTCTTAATTTCAGCCCGCCGACTTGTTCGAGATATGGATCTCATGTTTTGCAGCGGTAAGTACGCTAATTCTCTAGTTTGCCTCATGTAGTGACGAAGAAATGATTTTGACTGTAGTACATACCAAATCAGCCCAAGGATTGTTCACGTAAAAACCAGGGAGCTATGAATGGGTGACAGCAGTCGTTAAGCTAGATGCGTATTCTTGAAGTTACTCGATTCTTATAGATCGACCATCGTATATTGTATAGGACTACAAACATTTGATGTCTAGGACGCAGTTGAAAGGCCTCTCAGGAGGCACAGTGACGGTACGCCTTGGCAACATAATTCAGATGAGTAATCAATTACGGTACGTTAGCAAGCGCTGGAAAGTTATTCTCTAGCTCTAAAACGTTTCACGCCAACCTGTACAAGACCTACTTGTTCCATAATACTATTATAGTTGTTGTAAAAGGTATAACAAACATGGGGGAAAACAAAATCTATAGGGGAGACGAATCACGCGTCTATTCCAAGATTATCAGTGGTGTCCCGGCAACTAAAACCTAAGAGAGTAAAACGCACGATTTACGAATAATAATGGGATTAGCATGTCGGGTTGAGAAACACCAAAAAAGTATCAAGTAAATTAAAACTTGTTCTTGGAAATGATGATATATTCAGTAATGAACAACCAAACAGGTGTGTCTGCAATGGCAACTATAAGAACGCATGAACGTAGAGGTAAGGCCAACCTAACCAAGCCATTTGAAGGACCAGTAGTGATCTTACCTTAAACACCATGCTACAAGCGACAAATTTCCTAGCTTCTGGATTCTGTGAAACAATAGTTCGCAACAGTGATCATCTAGAACTTGAAAAAGCATTATATAATATGAACACAGACCGGCTACTACACAAGCTCTCTGCGTTTGATCTAGCCGAATGTTTTTATCTACTATATCTAGTTCCTGCTACTGCTAGTCTGGGCGCGCACGAAGTTTTTTTTCATGTTTAATGTTCAATAGGATAGCCATTGGCGTTTAAGTTAGTATTAGTAAGCTTGGAAAAATGAGTCGAATTCACGTCAATAGACCCCGCTTAACTTCCAAAAAAAAAAATAGCATTCCAAGTTCCCATTGACCAGAAATAATATGTATATTGTATTTCGATTGAGTCCAGAGCCCTGCACATTTGGACCGCTTTTATTTAGGGTTTAATGAACATATAAACTTGACGTTGTAACATATTTTCGCCGACAAACAATTTCGCTACCGCCGTAGACTCAAAGTTTTGTCACGAATTATACTTTAAATAATGTATTGCGTTGTGTAATGTTGTTGACTACATTCATAACAAAAAAACAAAATGTTTACTTGATTTTAGTAGGCGCATCATAAAGACAACACAGTCTAAAGAACTACCGTTATATCAACGGTACCGTTTGCCATTGTTGCACTTCGGGTCGTCAAACAAGTGTTGACTGATCTTCTAGTTAGATGGCTTTAAAATCACATATTTTACATAACGGCAAGGAGCCGCGTTGGGTTTGCATCGGTGTCATTTTAAAGTTAAATATTGCCAATAGCAGATGTGCTGAAATTATTATAATTTCTTTATTCAGGTGAAACTAGCGCGAAATTTCGCATTACCTTATAATTTTGTTTACCTGTTGTCAAGGCGCGTAAAATATCTCTGTTGTTCATGATAAAATCAGAAACGACGGCTTAAAGATGGTTCTGTCCCTTTTGTTTTGGAAATTTTAATGTGAAATTATTGGGCAAGAGCAATACGTGAGTAGCCACGATGTTGCGTCCGCCAGCAAATGGTTTTAAACGATTTGAAAGAGGTTGGCTATAAAAAGAATACCTGGTGTTTGGGTGCCACACGAATTGACGCAAAAGAACTTGTTCGATCCTATTCCGATTCTACAAAAAACTCTATAGAACGTACCGATAATAAAAAAACGTGCAAATAAAACAAATATGTTCCACAATTTGTAGCAAAGCGTAGACTAACGCAAAAAAACATGATGCTATTTTTTGATGGGATTGGGGAAAAAGGGTCATACATTACGAGCCGCTGCCTCCAGACAGAATGATTGGCTCTGCTGCCGACAGCTAGAACAATGGCAGACTACATACATTTTCAACACTTCGGCAAAAATTAAGGGGACTGGGATGAAAAGCTTCAATGTGTATGTTGCGTAGCCTGGACCAAACGATGATTTCTGCAAAACCCTTTCAATGATGTTAATTTAGCTATAATGGAAAGATGCAAAAATCACTTATTGCGATTCTTCGCTTAGAGAGCACGGAAGTTCTATAGCCGTACGATTGTCGTGTAACACAAACATGTGGAAGGCTATTCACCAAAACAGCGAATATCTACGTTAGTGATATTATTATTTTAGAAGATGAAAGGCTTCGATTTTTATGTAAAAACGGTTAACACTTTTTCGACAAAGTGACCTTTATACCAAACTGAGCACGGCACAGTTTCATTGCGCCTAGACTAATCTACTGCTGCTTAGTGCGATGTCTTGGCGTAACAGAAGACACGTGTCTTCCGAGAAGATTCGTAGCAATTTTTTTAGCAATAAGGTAAACACTTATTAAAAAATATGCATTTTAGTTCACATAGTATCGCGGAACATGTAAATAAAACATACAGCCATTTTCAATTTTAAGTTGTTAATTGTGTAAATGCTCACACCAATAACAGCTGTTCGTATCCGAGTCATTGGACGGATTCACGCCGCCCAGGGAAATCTCCAGTGGATTTGAGCCGAGGCACAACACAAATAATGTGCTTATGGAAATGTTCTGTTGGTCACCTAATGTAACAACAGTCACGGTTTTAGAGTCCAATGCTAACTTTAATGACTCTACAATCGTTGTTGGCGCTAACAGTCCGCCAGACGTTTTGCTTCCCTTATTATCAGCTTGTTACGCTTTGATTTTGCCGGGACTAGAGGTCTTTGATGACGGGGAAGATATATTAACCTGTTACGCATACTTACTCGTCAGTTGATAATATGGGCAGTTTCTAGAATAAGTGTGTGTTTGGGTTAAATTATAGCCTTTTTACCCATTGAATATAATTACACTCTCGGTGCTGATGAGATCTAGGCACGTTGTTTTGCCTAGAACTGATTGCATAGACATTTAAGGGCATACAACAAATGTTAGGAAGCAGGAGTTCGCAAAGAAAGTCTCGTATTTGAGTAAGCAAAAGTGGCATCGATTTTACGCGCAGTCGCCTATCCAGACTCGTGCAAAACATTGAAAGTGCTCGATCCTTGTTAATTCCACGGGCTAAATGCACCTTTACCAATTATGAAAGGTGACTGTTTGTAGCGACAAAAGTCTTGCTAAATACGTTACCTTAACTTATCCAAGGTAATGCACCTTTCGTACATACTTTCACCACTTTTCACTAGCTCTTTGGGTGGACTTCAAAGAAATACTGTCCCAGCACCTTCATCACATACATTTCTAAAACTTCGATTACACCATCCGATGTGTACTAGCGTATTTGGTTAAGGGATGTGGCTATGTTTTACAGTAATACAAAAACTTACACACACCTAAACCTATCTATTCAAATAGGAAACTGAGGTGCCTTTATCATCAAACACCGAATTATAGCGTTGACTCTTGTGTCTGATTTTACATTTTCTGCCGTATGAACAGGAAAATTAGGTGTAACTCTTGTACGGGGACAGAAAAAGATCTGACCACTAGGACTATACAAACGTTTAATATGTGTGTTAAATTGTTCGGATTGAAAAGTACAATTGCGCATTTCGGGACGGCTATCATTACATGGCGGCTTTTTCGTCGGCGCTATTTTAAGGTATATGTAACTGTTCTTTTTGGTTCATCTACATTAATTTGCTATGCTGTGGATGTCAAGATCATTGATAAAGAACATCCGAAGGGGTATGGTCAGCCTGGGATTAGGAATGGATATTTTATGTTGAGCAAAAGAACGCACAATGCTTTAGAGATCCCCCCCCCCCCGCCCCCCAGCGGGCAATACGAAAGATTATACGGTATCGGGTGTCTACGATGTTGAAGTTTGTCCGGCTAGTGTTTGAGACCCTCCTCATTGCAAAATGTACTGATACTAATTTAACTTGCCAGTGATTGGACAATCCGAACGAGGTCTGGAGAATCTGGTAAGCACTAAAGCTTTTGCATAACAGCCTTGACAATCTCTGCCATGTTCGGCTTAGGATTGTCGTGAAGAAGGGTAACTTCACCCCGTCTATCGAATTTTTTCTTTTGGATAGCATTGGATTGTTTTGGTTGCATTATGAGATGCAGCTGAATCATATAGAGATTACTGTCGACTACCCTGCTTTCTAAAACATGTCCCTGGTTATAAAATCGTTACAAATACAAATTATGATACTTCTTTGATGAGTATCTGTGCTTAATGTATTTCTCGTAGCTGTTCTTCTTTTCTTCCTTGTATTGGCGCAAAGACATCACCTACTCACCCATTACATAACACCTTTATTGGGATCTGTTATTTTGACTGAGCGTAGCTAGGCAGCCTTTGCTTGTTTGTTTGACTTGGCTTATGGGGGACCCAATAACCCAAGCTATAAGTTAATTCCATCAAATGAAAAGCGTTTTGTTCGATAGTGCATTTAGCCAAAATAAAACGGGAGTCGAAAATGCCTTTTCTTTACCAGGAATCGCTCTCACTTAATTCTATAACCCGAGCTAAGATACCGTTCGTCGTATGATGAAATTATCCAGCAGAAAAAGCATTTTCAAATGATATATAAAGATAAACAAACAGTAGAGAAATGAGAGAACATTTTAGAAAAACGGCGAATACTCTTTGGTACACACAACAACATAGGTTGAGTTCGTTTTAGTGTTTCCTTTTTTCTTTTGACGTCTCTATTACTCCACCGTTAATACCATTCTTTGTACTATTCGAAGGTACGTTTCTCCCCTATATACGCCGTACAACTTCGTTCGTTGTGCGATGAACTGATGTTAAGCTCAGGATCGAAAGCTAGAATTTTGAGGCTCTATTTCACCCTTTGCCGATGCCAAACAACTGCCTACGCAGCATTTATATGGCATACAGCAAGGACGCTATGACTAACAGGTTGCCTGGAACTGATTTCGGAAATTCTAGCTAAACAATGCGCCCCGTTTAAGTTGCCTATGTCTGGGGCCGACGAGGCCGATCGAAGGTTGTTTCGAAGAAACGCGATCAGCATACTATTGGACGAGAAACTTATCTGCGTGATAGAGGAATTTTAGATTTGAGATTTTTTCAAAAATTAGGAACTTGCGTTCTCCATAATCAGTAAACAGCATGAAAGGATACGACCTCTCATTTTTTTTACCATCTTGCCCGACATCGAATATCATGCAGCTACACTAAGAGGTTTTCACACAGATTTTACTATCCGCGACGAAAGGTGGTGCCTCAACGTCGGAATAAGGTAAAGAAAAGAACGAGCAGCGACTTCTAGAGAGACGCTCAATCCCAGAGTTAAACCAATCTCCCTTACAAAACGAGTCTGGCAAGACTGGAAACCTTCTATACACCAGGGAAATGGTTGCAACAGGCATGTGGTCTAGCTGCACTGGTGGGATGAAAGAAGGAAGAACCGATAAGCACGGCAAAAGTATCCTTTTTTTACAATGAAGTGCGATCCATGGCATAAGGTACAGAATGAGAAAGCCCCTGCGCTTGAGTGGAAGGTTGTTTTGTGCTCCGGACGTCGCTCTGACGGATTATCACACTTCCCGATCACTAAAAAATTGAATTAATAACCGTTTATGTGACACCAGAGAGTTTGATATGGGGGAAGCTCGTCGAGAGTAGTGGCGAATGCATAATAAACTAATAAGACGTAGGATTCGAGTAAAACGCTGCGTTCCTTGTTAGGTAAACAAGCGAAATAACTCATGTTATAACGTGGTATATATAAGTGTTGTGCTACTCTATGAGGTGTGGCGTCTAAGTCCGCTAATACATTGGTGAGGTGTTTGCCATGGGGGGCATGCGTTTGTTCATAACGTTAATCTTCTCTAGAACAAAATAATAGAATTGTCATGATAAAAAGAGTGCGTCGTTTCCGCAGTTTGAGTGAAGATCCGTTGTTATCCACTTTCTCCGCGCCGAGCGAAACGTCAACGGTACAGAGAATTTTTTCACCCGAAATCGACGATATACGTTATCGACAATTTTCACGCGGCTTCTAAAAAATCCGTAGAAGGTCTATGACGTAAACCGGAAGATTCCCGATGGAGTTTAGATTTGAAAGGCTTAAAAATTTATCAAAAAAGCCCAAAAAGCTATTTTTGGTACACATGGATTTTTCATACAAAAGTTAGCGGCCGTTTTGGAGATCAGAATATCAACTACCAGTTCGATCATCCCGATGAGCTCCAACTTCGAATCATTTAAAATTTTACTAATTACCAAAATGTAATAAAGAAGTACTCAGAGTTATTTATTGATTGAAGATGGAATACTTTGAAAACTAGTAGTGAGTTTAAAGGTGTTGCATTAAAGTTGTGATCGCAGTAAGAGATAATTATAATAACAATAATAATTATACTGTCAGGAATAACACTTGTAGCGCAAATGCAAAAAAACACTGAAAACTCCGTTTTTCGTCTGGATACATGTTGATCAATAAATGAAAAGGTAAATTCTGAATTAAGGCGCCGCATTCTGGATTTTTCAATTTGGAAAGCCTATTGTGATCCATTGGGTAAATAGGTTGGTTTCTATCTAACCGACCCTGTCTTACCAGGTGAATCTGAACAAGGGCAATAGGCCCTTTAGATATCGCTGTTTAGAATGCTTTTCTGATCTATTAAGTAACTCTAAAGGTTCTTTTTTAAATACAGGTATTGTTAAAAGTCGTTCAAGTAATGTACGAGCCCGTTTCTTTTTTGATATAATCATCTCAAAGACAGGCTGTAAAAGCTTTATTTAAAACTGCCATGTTTGCTTACAGAAGCAAGTGATATTCTATTAGCCATAATGGGACTTAAGCCACGTTCAGATAAAATTCTCTGAAGATTTTTAGCACATTAATAGACTGGAGATCTTATTATAGAGGAGCTCCAAGCGATTCATTATAACTGAAGGAGCTTTCCAACGCTGCAACCCTGCCACGGATGGTTCAGTGCCGTTGTAGCCACGGCTACCCCCAGCACTACGTCAGCGGCCCCACTCATGGAAAAATTCTAGGGCTGTATCGACTACGCTTTTGACGTTTAAACCGCGCTTTCTTCCATAGTACCACGCTCAATACAGATAGCTATTGCCGGTGGGTATACATACGTGTTCTCCAACGTCTGCAAGAGGAATGCAAACGGCAACTTCTGCATGCTCTTATATACTTTTTCTATTACTATCTTCGTTCTTAGTTCCCGTTTAGCCAAGAACTGAACCCTCACTTCCGATTCAGTCTTTCGGAAGGATGTGCCCAAGATGAGAGGCTTTTTTCGAGGACACGACACGGGAATCGGGGATGATGTTTAGCGCAGTAAGCTAGTGGCGAAAAAGTTTACTACTGAAAAGAGGAATGCCCCCAAAAATGAATATACTTCCCATAGGCAGCGTGGTAAGCTTTACAAAGACTTTTCTATGGCTTTTCTAACTATATGGCAGTACTCTGTGGCGTTAGCCTACTCTCGCTCAAAAAGATCACTAGCGTGTGACTCGATTCGATGAGGGAAATTTTTTAATACATAACTATACAATCTTTAAGTATAATAAATTCCGTAATGTCTGGCAGTATCTGCTCAGCTGAGACGCAATAGGACGCGAAGGGGCCATCTATATCCATAAAAGAAGAGAGCTTTAGCAACAATAGAATGTCAGATAAAACTATTCTAACGCGTTCAACATCTGTAGTGATCACCTGCGAGAAAACTGCAGTTCGTCGTACAGGTATGAATGAAACTGTATGTAGATTGTGCGCTTCCCGATGCTCACATGCTTTCCCAGCTCGAGCTATATACGTTCGTGATAGGTCCCACGCTGTGTTGGCGCACGATGGCGTCATTTGTCGCTGTGAGCTGTCGCTGAACAAAAAACTATGCCTGAGCAGGGAGAATTTTAGTATAAATATGCTGTTTATTTAAGACAGTGTTCTTTGTTTGTGAATTTTAGAAGGTGGTGTCGCCACGACCTCCCGCTTTGTTGGCAGTTCACTTGCAAGAAGTGGGAGGCAAGCGGTTTCACAGTTCGATGTGTCATGCTCAAGCCTTCGTCCACAAGCTCGCTGCAGCTCTTCAACCTTATGGACTCACTAAACACATCGCCTTCATCGATGATGAAAATGACAGCACCAAATTTACCGTATGTGATTATAAAGCATAATATGGTAAACTGAAAAGTAATTAGCTCGATTAATTCCGTGTGCAGCTCAAGCAAAACGTGCCCCAGAAACAGTACGTTTGAGACAGTGGTTGTAGTTTAGTGCTTGAACACGTCGGCTAATACCATAATAAATAGTACTGAAACGCGCGAAAGTACAAACGACATTTTGTAAGTGAGATTCAAAGCGACTCTCCCGGTCGTAGCACTTTCAATCTATAGTTGTATGATCTAAGCTTATAATATAGATTCGAAATTGATTACTTAATTTTTCCGTGTGAGAATTTTACTTTTTATTTTTACTTTGAGTTAAAAACGTTTGCATTCTTTTCAGGCGTTGGGTAGCATTTATTTTGTGCACAGCTCAGTCTCTTCCAAGGTGCGGGTGTGGAACTTCAAAAGCGGCAGCTTCGACCCGTTGGATCAACATAGTCGTGTCTATTTTCAAGAGGATCTTGAACCCGTGGCCACAGTACACAAGCATAAGTTCTCACCAGTTAGTATTACGTAGACCACCAGTTTCGGAATAGTCCCGAAATAACGGTCCGTTCATTACACAAATGTAAAGTAAATAAATTTGCTTCCCTCTGTTGTTTGCCATCGTTATTCGATTACTTCGTCTACTGTTTGCATCGTTGAAACGCCTATTGTCAACGACGCATCGGGTCGGAACATTCGAATAAAGAAACGTGCATGAATTATGCTCAGCTATGAGTCAGTCATGCAAAGTTATCTGTGTAAGTCACATGGGTCTAAGAAATTTCTCAATATAAGTCGGAACCATGCGTACTTTGAAAGGTAGAAGACAAGTAGAAATATGGAGCTGATTTATTTGTTTGATTTCCGTCTAGTATGACATTGTCTTTATCTACATTGTCAGGATATGACACCAATGCAACGGTCATCGCGCAAGGGCTTCCTTCGTACGCGGTGGCAACTGGCGGAGAATCTCATACCCATCGAACTCATGAACGTTCACCTCTTCCACGACGAATCGAACTTCGTTGCGATGCAACAGGTACCAGAGAAACAAGGTCCCTTGAAGCCGGAGCCGAATGCATTATACAATACGATGAGTAGCATTGTTGGGCGGAAGGCCGAAATACACAATAGCAAAGTCCAAATACCACCTGAATTAAGGTTATGGATCGAAATATAGTATAAAAGAATCCTATCCACGAGAGGCAATCGGGTTTTGTGTGTTGAGGTGAATATGATTATTCCTTTACGTGATATAGTTACAATGAGCGTTATCTCTGGACGTGTAACGCGATAGATAACCTTAAGCTTATAATATAGATTCGAAACTGATTGCTTAATGTTGCCGTGTGGCAATTTTACTTTGAGTTAAAAACGATAAGTAAAATAAAAAACGTTAAAAAGATAAATACTAGAATATAGCACGTTAACGGATAAAGAGCGTGTCAAGTTCGAGGTTCAAAAAACGACAAGGTTTTCAGGCAGAAGTTGAAACCCGCATCGTAGAATTGACCCTTTAACCTGCCGTCTTTCCTATTACGTTACCAACAACCACACGTGTCCGCAGTTGAGCGAACGTGACTTCCACAACATAACCTTTTCGTAGTTAAATAAAAATACGAGGAACATTGTCGAGGCATTAAGGCTAAAAAATTGCAGACTTTACAATATCGGTATATAACACCGACCAAATCGCGACCAACAATGACCAAATCGCGACATTTACTTAAAAAGAGATTTAGCGTTGTTTACATTCCCAGCTCCGCTAACTTCGTGTGACTTCTTCCTTTAATGCCCGTACTTGGCTCACTTATTAATTTGAACGGCCACCTTCTCAACGGCCGCTAACGGTGAAAATTAAGTATTTCATCTATGTGGCACGAAATAGTTCAAAGCCATAACTTATGCAGTTCGTTTACTGTTTTTTATTATTTATTTGGAAACAAGTGATCATCCGATTAGGTAGCTTTTCCTCTTTCTCTAACATAAAAAATTGATACATTTTTATTTGTGCCAGCATGCTCATAAAAACAGAGGTATTGGAGCAGCATCAAGCAAGCTCTGTCATGTCCAAACAGAAAAATAGGAAGGTACGGCGTCATGTGATTTACGGGGCCGTCAAAAACAAACAGCATAATTATTTACTCGAGATATTATACCTACAATTTATCTCGCATGGCTTAGCACGACTTCTTTGTCTGTATAACGTATACCAATGCAACGTCCAGCTTCAATGATTTCGAATGATTACTTTCTGCAAGGGTTATTTCGTAGCAAATATAACTATTTTTTGTAGAAATTTGAATCGAAAGGTCTTTTAGACACTGCACACGGTTGTCTGTTCTGAAGACTGAAGCTAGCGCTCATGTCAGATGTGCCTGCTGCTTGAGCGTCTGACCCAAATTACCAGCCAGAATCGGGCGTCTCGGATCGCCGCGGAAGTTCATTAAAGCAATCTTTATTATGACTTAATATACTGTTGGCGTCATTGTGTCACATAGATCACATGGATAGGATCACACAGAAACTGCAATACCATCATAGCACTCTCATAGATCTTCTGCTTTAAAGAGTTAACATCAAAGTAACGAGTTTTATTTGGCGAGATTTTGAAACAGCCAATGAATAAAAAGAAGTTCAGAATAATAATCTTTTTCGTAGAGCTTGAAAGGCAATAGAAATTGGCGCAAGAATGAAAGAAAAAAAAGTTATGAGAAGTAGGGCTTGAGGCTATTTAGGAGACCTGCTTAAATTTCATCACTTCTGGTTGACACGTAAACGTAAAAAATTGCAAATTTAAACCTTACATGCAAAAGTGCTCTGATACAAACAAATAGTGAATATTAATATGACTTAAGTCGCGGGACCCCCAAATAAGAAGTACCTACAGTGTACAGTACCTATATGAACTCATACCTTTCAAACTAGTCGGTTTAAAAAGAGGCTGGATGGTCGGACGCATACCATGGAAAAAGAAGCAGAGCACACGGAATATGGTAAATAATTAGAATTGGTTACTGGATCTCCGCCACACTACAGATAATGGCCTTTCGAGGTATCAATAGCAAAAATTATACAGGGCATTTCATAATTATTAAGCGATCGAACCCGATGACTTGAATGTTCACGTACGTCCAAAATCGGATTTGGTCTAAAATTTAAGCGAACAATAAATAGATCATCTTCACTGTTCTACATTATCTCAAATAATTTATTTTTCCTTATCGATAACTGGAAAGAGTGATTGCCCGAGACGGTTGTACGTTCTCTTAGAGTGTTAGGTAGAAAGTTCAGTAACGTTTAACAAAGTCCTCGTATTGTAAGACGGGTTGAAGCAATCGCTTCCTGGAACCGTCGAGTCTGAATAGGAATTACATAGAAAAATTCAATGGACCCAAAGGATGCTAGTCTTATTTTTGCTGTGAGCACTTATTAACTTGCTTTCTACAAAGAGTAACTTCAGCTGGCTTCTTGGTGAATGAGGCTGGTAACGGCGCAGGTCGTGGTCGCAACGATTCTTACATTTGTTAAACGTATCTTCACCACGATTGACAGTTGTCAGAGTGCGAAGTCTAAGCCGATCTTTGCCTGCCGTCGTAGCTAAGTAGGTTGGGTACATCACTTCAACGATATAATTCCCTTATCTTCATTTTCTCTTATCACGCTAATGACATCGTTTCCTATAATCAGGTGACATGCCCGCGTCGCATGTAATATTGATGCCTTTCTAATTATGTAAGTCCTTCTACTTGTGCCTATCAATCTCATTCTAGTTCTGTAGGAAGGGTCTAATTTATTGCTATTCGATCTGCCTAGGTTTACATCGATATGGTACCCTGTAATCTCGTAACGTTGTCTCTATCTGTGAAATTACAGTTCCCGTCACTGTACAGCGAAGGACGTCGAAGAGCGTTACGGTTCGCCTTGGAAAGAATAGGGACGGATCTGGATGATAATGAGCCACGTAGCAGCAAGCAATGTTTGCCTCACGCGTTCTTCATTTTTGGGGACTTCAATTTTCGGTAATGTATTTTAAAAGTACATTTTAAGAAAATCAGCTGTATGAATATACCTAGTGTGAAGAGATAGACAGGCTATATCGTATGTACTGAACGACTATGGATGTTTTTGTATTTTTTTGGTTTCACAAATTTCTGCGTAACGTAAAGTCCTGTGACGATGAGAGTAATGCAGTTTCAAGAATGAAGGGGTAAATAATCTTCGTTGTCGTGTCATTGCTAACGAGCTTCTCTCAAATATCATTGTCTCACATACGGCGGTAGCTTATACCGCTTACGATTCTTACGCTAGTTAACTGGTTGACTCCGATTCGAACTAGAACGACAGGGCTTACGAGCTTTGTGTTTAACGCAAGCCCGCATGATTCTTCGCTAGTTTTGTTTCAGTTAATGATCTTCATACGCCTAACATCGTTTCTGCGAAGGCACTCGTGACTCAATATGTTGGTAATATCGTGTTGGCTTTTTAATAACGGACTCAAACGCTTAATTTAGTTGTCCGTCTTCTACCAGTGTCAACGGCTGGACCATGGCAGATGTTCCGCAGCATCCATGATAGTCGAGACTTTTCGTGGAAAGATGAAAGTAGAACGATGTAATAGCGTTTCAAAAATATCTTGCCATTACACAGACTGATGTCAGCATCAGCCTTCTGGATTTTCAATGCACAGTATACGATCTATCACAAACGAAACCTAAATATTGTCGTAATACTTCTCCAAAGTATATATCTTTCATGTCTGTCGTTTTATACTGCGTTACTATTAATTGTTATGCACAAGCTGGACTGCTCAACAACCGTGCAACACGGCGTACGTATATATACTGTCAATTGTTTAAGCATTTTCGAAGGTAGTGTCATATCATTCCTATGTGAATTGTTTGCTACAATAGTCCTTGCTGGTCATGTACTGAAACAGCGGATTATTGAAGAATTATCTTTCATTTTGCTCTACGTTACTTTCGGCGAGCCCTGTCTATATGTGTCTGTAATTATTTCTGCACGTCATGTTCGGCTTTTTTTTAGGCTGGACACGGGAGCAGTGGTGTCCTGGTTGAGTGAGGGCGCCGAGCTGCACGAGACAAAAGACGAAACTGGAAAGTTGACACGGCAAGAATTCCATCAAAGAACCATTTCAACGACTATATCAACGGTAACTACTTTAACGAAAACAACTGCTTCACATGACGATGCACCTACTAGCGAAGAGTCAGCCGGAACGCATCAGGGTGAACGGGCCGTATCGGCCGTATTAGCTGCCCAAACAGAGAGTGGCTCTTATAAGCAAAAATTAGAGGGCAAAGATAGTAAACGTGCCGGGAAAATGGCAGTCAACGATAGAAGGACAACGTTTTGCGATGCTGGCGGTGAAGGCACTCACAACAGGAGCGAGCCACGTCAAGTCGCACAAAAACAATATAAAGCCAGTGATGAAGTTTATCATTGCTCTTCATCAGAACAATATCAGCTCCAGGTGAGCAACTAGGTTAGCCTCTGCGTAGTTCCTCCGCGTAGTTCGTTGAAAAACAAGTTTTGTTCGAAAAAAAAAAACTTGTCTACTTGCTTGCCGCTAAAAGGCGTTTCGTGTTCGTGATAGACGCTGGTATAAAACGTAGATAATTCGTTCCTCGTAACCTGTCCTAAAGACTCAAATATGATGTTGTAGGGTTGCCTTATACATCGACTGTAATTTAATTACTCTATTGGGTCAGAGAATTTTGGTATCTGAACGAATAGTTTTTCCTTAATAAGGACCTTTTAAAGACGTCAAACGATCGCGTGCAATAACATTTCATGCCGCGTTATAGTTCGAATATTTGGCTATTCTGAGGCTTTATATGGTATCGTTAATTATGTAGTCGTCATTCAGTATTCTGTAGAAATAAAAAAATGTTAGCTTGATATATATGTCAACGCCTAGCTTATTCGAAATTATTCCGCAATAAAACGAAATGAATTTTGGTCTACTTCCAGCTAGCACGCTTTGAGGAGTATGCCCTATATGCTTTTATGAACAGAGTCATTTAATTCTACCAGTTTGGTTCCGGTGAATTATGTCCATTGCAAGAGGTCTATTATATGATATAGATTTTGCAAACGTGCAACTCGTAGCCTGGAAAAGCTGCTCCGAAGGATCATTAAATATCTAAAACATTCAATTTCACATAACGGAACGTAAAAAGGAACATGGCTTGGCTTATACAGAAACGAGCGTACTCACCTCTTTACAGAGATTAGTCATCGTCAATGACTTAGATTCAAACACATTGATTTTGACTGACTGGGTTATTGAACTTGTAACTTCACCAGTATAGGAAGTTGACGACAAACACTATGACGATTATCCTTTATTATATACAAGGCACCACAGTGGACTATTCGTTAACTTATCACCTGGCGTTCGACCTGCGCTGTTTGAAAAATACGGGAATGATTAAGCCAAAAATCAGGTCTCAGCAAGTAAGCAGAATTTTCGTGCAGACAAAAGTAAAAGAAAGTAAGTTTAGTGAATCTGAATATCAATCTTCCTTCTATCTTTAACTTGAATGACAACTTTTAATTTATGCACCTCAAACCGAAATGCTCGCTGGATAGATTTTGTAGCTTTTTGTATTAAAATAAAATGTGTTACCGTAAATATTGAGACCTTCTTATAAAAAAAAATCTTACAAAATATCTGGCAGCCATACTTTTAATTACACCTGATGCTATTTTGAATGTAATTATGCAAGTGTGAACGTTCCTAAACTTGGGGTTTATAGGCAAGCCGAGTTCCTTGCTAGATGTTACAAAGGTGGAAACTCTTCTTTCGACAAAGGCCATGCCTTCTTGTGTCAGCCAGCAATATCCTACGTATGTCTTATAATGCGTAATTCTAGAATAACCGGACCTAGTTTTAATATGGATGATAAAAAAGACTATTAAAATTATTATTTTAATCTCTGTAGGGTGTGCCAGGAAGTAGCGTTACTGAGAAGCACAAAAGTGAACAAAAGGGAGCCATACAGGGCCATCAAGGGGTGGGCAGTGCTTTCTCTACAACTTCAGAAGTAAGCACCATGTCAGCGGCTCCAGGACGTAAGTCTGAAGGCGGCTGTTGCCCTCGTCGCGTGTTAACGCTCGAAAAGAAGTTGTTCGAATTACATGAAGATCGAGCGAAGACACGATTTACCTCTGATCTCAACAGAAATAAGGTACGAATATATGAAGCGTATTGAGCTTGATCTTTGAGAAAATCAATGTATATATGAATAAAAAATACAGCGCAAAAAACAATGCAAAAATTATTCAGCCCGAAATGTTCCTGCATTATGAAGATGTTATACTGTTCATTTATACTTACAGGGTATAAACTCTCATAATATGTGTTTAACGATGTTAAAACACATACGACATTTCTCTTGTTTTTGTATGGACTACTTCATTGCTTTTCTTACTTTCCTTTAGAACGCCATGTCATACTGGAGGGGCAAAGGTTTATAGTAGGGTATATTTGCAATCAGAAGAAAAATAGGCTCGCAGCCAAATAGCTTACGGTTCAGCTTTCATCTATTTCAGCGGTATAAACATGTCTTTTTTTTTTTAACTAATTTATGCACCGTAAACTTACGTCTTAATGAATTGTAAGTTTGTTTTTGCCATTTTCGGCTGTACCGCCTCTAACGTGGGAACGTCCAGACTACAACCAAATGGATCAAACCTGCAAAAGTGGGTCTTAATCCTTTAAAAAAATCTTCTTATAATTATTGTTAACAACACAAGCAAATATTATGTATATATATTATTTTCTCCTGTGATTATTTCAGTTACTCTCACATGACAAAGAACCAGAGTTCTTCAAGGAAGAGTTGGACGAGTTTACAATACAGTTTCCACCAACGTAGGGTTTGCATTTGCTAATAGTCGTTTAGTACTGGAAATGCTATGCATCCACGGTTACTCGACAGAACGTTAAGCTCTTTGCGGCCAAATCAAGCTTGGGAAAATTGTTTGTGAAGGGTTTCCATATACTTTTTTTGGTTAACTTTAACGATCAGATTTATTTGGTGTTGAGATTGGTCAAAAACAGCAACAGCACCGAATCTTGAACATTCTGAAAGTTCCGAACAATTCCAATGCTTTATTGAATTACTATAGAAATACCGCAAGCTTATCCAATTTTTATAGCTATTATTAATTACTAAAACAGGTATCCTTACACGGAATCAGCGGATGATGGTCACTCGTTCATGGGCACACGTTGCCCATCATGGTGTGACCGTGTTCTATTCGGACTGAAGACAAGGAATGCTCTTTGTTTGCGCCTCATCGAATATGATGTCGTTGGAAAGGAACATTGCATGGGTGATCATAAGGTATAAAATAAAGATTGATTTTATTATATAATATGTTTCAAACATATAGAAAAATAGCGTGAAAGGTCGGATAGGATACAAGAAAGTGACTAAGTAGATTTTTATTATAGGACATTAAGCTTATTTTCCTCTAAAATTGGTGCTAAATCTGTGAACAAATTAAGTGTTAGTAGATAAGGGCAACGTAAAATTGATTGGCCTTTTTGATCGTATCATCAATTTAAAGCTTTTGAAGGTTCTTATAGGCTGTGTCTTTCAAGTCAATGATTTTTTTATATTAAAATAAGATCTTCTAAGTAACAGAAAATGCCTATACTTATTAACAAAATTAAATGTTATATATTATGGTCTACGTGGCTGTCATTTTAATTCCGTTTGAAGAAATGGTCGCCGTATTCGGTGTACACGTGCCTGTCTTTTTTCTAGTCGTTGAAACACTTTTCGAACTAAAACATAGGAAGTAGCTGTGATGCTATTCTCGTTTTCTCTTTGAACTTCTTGGGTCGCATGGAAGCTTTATTTTTTTAGGTGCTTCTTAAGCTTTATGAGTAGCAAACTAGCGCATAAAGCTGGTATATATCTGCTAAATATGAGCGTTACGACAAATAAACGTAAAGCTCTACAGCAAAAGGCCCGATACGGGTAACAACGTGTAAGGAGGCGCGTTTTTTCCTAGAATTCAAGCTAAGTTGGCGAACAATATCACGTACTTGGCTGCTAATACGTTTTAGTGACGGTAGAAGCACTCAGCATGGATTCATAATGCAGAGCTCCCTAATAGTATTAAAAGGCGTCGAAAAGAAGCTTAGTCCTAAGCTCGTAGACCTAAGCTTTCTGATCAGGGCCCTCCTTGAAAGCGATATCTAGGTGATTGTGCTTTTGCCCCATCATCGAACATGTGCAATCGCGTCTTGTCACCTGTAAGTGCGTTAAAGTTAACGGGTCTTTTGTCCATGTCGTTCGCCAAAATGTTTGCCGTAAGCCTTCTCATCTCTAAAGTATCTTTAAAAATGGCCCAACGTGATTCCTGTGAGAGACCTAACTTTTTTGTTAGCTCTCAAGAGTAATTCCTAAATCATACAACATGAGTTTTCTTCACCTTTTTGTACGTGCTTGATGTGGCAAATCACCAAGGATGAAGAAACTCCATCGTCCGTTGCAAATCCATCTAATATATCGCAGACATCAATTGCACGCTCAACATTAATTCATTGTGTAGTACCGAAAAGCCTTCCACAGCTTTAGCACCAGCTGCGAGCATTTGTTTCGGCCTTTCCATAAAGCATAACGCAAGCCTTTCGACACCCCATTTTTGTTTTCCACAAAACAAAATACGATCGAAAGTGGGTCTCTTGAAAACGCTAACAAAATACAAGCCGCACGTTGAGTCGTCTACAATTTGGCCTTTTGCGGATAACAGGCACACGGGCGGGTCTGACTCCGCAATTGCGGACATTGTTTTGCCTTAAACGACTGAAATTAAGAGACTGTAGATAATTTTTTGATACAATAATATCAATTATTAATGTTCTTATTATTATTTTCTCAACGACAGGTAGACTGATGGTAGGATGGTGTATAAAGGACTAATCGTTTTACGTTTCGTGCTGTTCCATGTGGGCTTTACCAGCCAGTGCTGCTGCGGGTGAGAATCGGTAATAACGATGCGCTTAGTGAAAACTACGCCGATAGCGGTCAGCAACAGCAAGGTATCTTCAGAGAGCAGCAAGGCCGCTCACAAAACAAAGAAACAGACGCGTTAGCAAAGGAGGACGTCATGCAGACATCGATGGAGACAAAGGCTAACGGTAAGAGGCCGCCCAAGCGAAACAGCCGACAGGGAAAGGGCCGTCAGGACGAGGCAGGCGCTCGTGAGGAGCAGGACTCGACCGAAACTGAACAGATGGATTCTGAGGAAACTGAACCAAAGGGCTTACGGACGGGTAGGGGGAGGACGACGAAGTGTTGTCCTCAGCTAAAGAAATGCTCAGTCCTATAGCAAGCAGGAAACAACTAATGTTAGCCCGAAGAGCAGACGCGTACGTTCATAATGTCCCAGAACAGTGTCATGTGCCAGATCTTAAACTCAGTCGAACCCAGTAGTACACATATCTTAGCATCATCAACGGAATAATTTAAGTAACTTATCGATTACTCTTCCGTCAAAGCTGGTGGAACACTAAATGGATCATTTATGTTGATGATACTCTTCTTTCGAGTATGCTCGTGGTAATGATTTGGTTGACCGCGTATCGTCATCCTGAAAAATCATTTTTACAATCTGCTAGTCACCTAGTTCGCGTAAATTGGCTACGCCATCGGCGAGCAAATTCTTGCCGGATGGCAAAAAGAAAAACCAAGTTCAAGAATTATACTGAAATAGAAATTCCGGAATGAACAGCACTCTCATCGGTGGAATAAAAGCAGGTCATTCACATATGCTGGTGCTGGTAAAGATTGCATCCTATCGACCGTTTCTCTCACCATTAACCTATAATCTAATGCACCGGTCGGCATTTACCGTTTCGTGCCCCTTTCACCAAGAGAATTACATTTGCAATGCGTCTCCGTACGTGTGCGCCCACGTTTTCAACACGAACTATCCAAAGCTTGTTGTTTTATTCCGTCTTTTGCTACACCCGCTTCTTCTGCTGTCTTCGAGTAATCTGTATGTGCCGGCATAAAGTCTGCTATCACCGCAACCATCAGTACCTTATTCGCATCATCGCCTGCCACTGTCAAGTGTCCACAATAGCTGATTAAGCCTGATTCATTGGCAAACGTATGTTGTGCTTTTGTCGCTGAGCAGCAAGCGTCAACACAGCTCTCGATTCGAAGTTATGCACACAATTCGGCCTTACTTCAATTTTTCGCTCTCTCATAGTCGCTATCACCATTAGCATCGAGAGAGACGTACGCAAAAGAAGCTCTTCACGAAGCTCTCGTTTCTGATGTGTAGCCGACGTGGTTTGTCTATTTGATTTTTGGCGCACCTGTGATGAATCGATCCATTGCGGTCACAGCGGGAATGTGCTTTACGACATAGCAAAGCTGCCGAAGTAGACTGCGGTTACAGTAGTTTATATGTGAGAATTCGCGCGTGGAATCGCGGTACTATTCCAATAGCTGCCACGTCGTGTATGTAATTCGCGTGGCGTATGGTAAGTGAGAAAGAAGCACGTGCAATATGGTATGGTACGACAACCCAAGCATGACCGATTCCGAGCGCGCCGGACGCAACACCAATATTATTAAACACCTGTCTTTTCTATTCCCTTGCGATCTTATTGTTATGGGAAAAAAAGCCTTTTTCCTGGCTGTGGTCCTGCGCTTCAAAAAAGGACAGTCATCACCAGAATGATGTAAAAAAAAGCATATCGATTCTCTGTCTCTCCTGACCCTTCTTCTTCTTCTTCTTCTTCTTCTTCTTCTTCTTCTTCTTCTTCTTCTTCTTCTTCTTCTGATCCATCAGTTTTATCCTATACTGACCTACACTGCATTTTTGGCTGATCGTGTGTGTCTGACTTTGAATAGAACACAGCATGGCCCTATGCAGTACAGGATTTTGATTCAAGTAGGTCGTGAGATATATGTATGGAAGGTATTCGCACCCCATGGTGTATGGCACATGATGGGGACCATCTGTAGTGCGAAGCTAATAATAGTCGAGACTTTTAAACAACGCAATACAGTTTAAAAGGTTCAAACAAAAAAAAAACAGACCGTGCCACTCTTTTGAAAATTAAAAAATAAGTAAGTTCGTTACTGTATTCATGAAAAGTCTGCGTCTTTCGCAATTTAAGCAATCCCTAAGCGACATGCAAACCGCTCAATGTCATGCTTTGTCATCTGAATTCAAAATAGGTTAAACCTAGGAAATCGCTTTTACTACTGGCTATTTACGAGAATTTGACAAATCATAACCGAATAAAGATGGGGAAACTGTTGGCAGACTGCATGTAAATAACGGAAATTAGGTTTGTGTATTAACCCACTAGATTACATCATCTGTTATGCCACTTGCAGGTGAACGATTTAGTTGGCCTTCTATTCAGTTTAAAAAGGCTGATGAGAATCCCCGACAAGGTTCCAAACGCCCCTTAGGCCACGAAGATAAAATTTAAAAATTTAGATCTTCAAGGGGTATCAGAGACGCTAGATGGGCTTTGTTTATCGATATATTAATGCGGTTCTATGGATCGTGCCTAGCCCGTCTACCGAACTGCGTTTGCCACGGATTATTCCCTTTGAGAACGCCTTCGATCGCTTGCGTCGCTTCAGGATATGACTGAGGTCTGGAATGAGATTGCAGTACCAGATAAAACCTAGAGCGGCTCCCTTCTCATGAACGCGGATAAATATAATAGGAAAACAAGTTTATAGTTGATATTTCCGCTCTTCTGTTCAATTAAGCAAAATCCGTGAAGCACGAAGTGCATTCTAATCAGCGCCAAAGCAAATTATTTCTACAATTGAATAAATGAGACATATGATTGCTTTTTTGCTTGGCAGCGTTTTATTCAAGTTTTCTTTAAAAGTAAATTTCTTCTGCTTCGCTCATTGGACTGGAGACCCTGCATTTAAAACTATACTACTAAAACTAGGAATAATATTCGCGCTTTACAAAAAGAAAATGTTACATAACACTAATTTTTAAACGAAAACAATTTTTCTTGCGGCCTTCCTGATACAGCCGTTAACATTTCAAATAGCGTTCAGTGATGCTGGCTGTCGTACCGCTTTTCGCTAAAGCTCAGGTTGAGCAACGGTAGCCTACGCTGGAAACTTTACGGGTAAACCGAATAGAGTTTAAAAATCCTAGACAAATACGATATAATGTAATACCACTTCGACTAGCGTCATGGTTCAACGGAGTGATTTCAAATTAACTCAGCTCCATACAGCTTCGGTTTTTTGAACAGTAGCCTTTATTTACGCGAGTCGTAATGGTTGGTGGAAGAATTTGAACAAACGCTACACAATGTATACCTAATACAGTTAAAAGACAAACGAATGAATTTCACAAATATTTAACTGGAAGTTTAATATATATATATGGAATATAACATACCCATTATCACGTGACTGCCGTTGCGTGTAACAAATCGGTGTCACAGTGCACGCTACCTGCCTTTCCTCTATTATGTCCGGTTTCTAATTGCAAAATCTATACCACGCAAATATCGGGTAGCTGAAGAGCACTCCGTATTCTACTATACCTCTGTATCGAAATCGGCGAATGTATCGCTGATAAGAAGGCGAGGATAGCCTGAAGCTTTCGTACATCTAACAAGTTCTTCTAACTTCCTCTGCCATCAACGGCAGTGGACTAACCGCTTCCAGGTGTCTTCAAGAATTGATCATCATCGACGATATGCTGAACATCAGCGGGTTGCTAAGCTGCGTCCAGTGAATCATCAGCACTAATGGCAATCATCTAGTAAAAGTAGTACTCATCATACCCGCAAGAGCCATATAGCGGCGATGTTGCCGACATCTGTTTCCAAGGGGAAATATGTTTATTCAAATGGAAGATAATGATATAGTGCCATACGAGGCAGTCACTGCCGTCATATCGGAGCCCTTTGAGACAGGTAAGAAATCACACTTTACGAATACTAAGAGAATTGATATACTGGATTAGCTGAGCTTTGCAACTAGCAGCATACCTTTAGTGGAACTACTTGATTCATTTCGATTTTTCTAATTCAGCATAATCGTAGATTGCTCAATAAGCACCTCGTCAAGGCTGAACTAGTGTGATGATACACTTAAGTTCGACAGCTGTTGCAAGCTTGTTTACACTAGTCTGCTCTTATCCCGAATACCGTACAATGGGACCGCGGTTCTTCTTCGAATTTAGCCACCTAATAATAGCTGTCGTACACCTATGTCATTTTGTATTTTTCGATGTAAATCCATTACAGATAGTCGCTCATGATCACCATCGAGTAAGCGAATAATAAATCAGATATTCGGTGTCATCCTGTCTAGTCATGGAAAGGAGCAAACCAAGAATCACGCAGATGGCATCTACTCTACATCAGCGGGAGAGGGAGATTGAAGCTTCGGAGAATGGAGAGAACGATGCATGAAGTAGCCATTATACATCGTTCATAGGCAATACATATCTCACTACAGCTGACGGAAATAAGCACGAAGATGTTAGGACGTTGATAAGTAAACGTGACAGAGAACAGCATTTGTTGGAAAGTCGGCCTTATCACTAGCGAGCAGAAACTTTCATTCGATGCGTCCCAAGCATTTACATCACAATGAGCGCAGACAGCATTGTTAGGTATTGCATTAGATTACTATATATACGTGCGAATCTTAATGTTCGCGCATCTGTACATGCATTAGGAAATATAATAGGGAAAGTTGACCTGGTTAGAAAAATGAGTAGTTGAGACGGTTGTACAGGCCCGGCGACACACGCTGGTCTTTCGGTGTTCATAAGCGTTATACTGCTAACTTAGCATTGTGGACAACGCGGTAGCAATTAGCAATAACTATTCGACCACAGGCGATAACAATAATAGAACTAGTTCCCTTTCGCACCTAATTAATATAGCATAGACGTCTGTGGATCAGCCGCGAATGCCTCGGAGTGTCGCTCAGATCTAACACCATTATCCAGAAGGGGCAGAAAAATATTCCGGGACACAGATCCGCGGTAAGCAGGTCCAGTGTAATGAAATTAACCCCAAACTATGCAACAATGTTTTATGTTGCAATAGATCTTCTCTAACCGATTATTCACTTCATATTTTAATTTATTTGTATTAAAAATAATGCAATCTTCTTCTGTAACATCCCACAACTCTACATTCTACTGTGAGCGATACCTTAAGTATACGTCGCAAACGATAGCAATCGAAATTCGTATTTTGAACAGCTGCTACGAACAGGGCAGATGTAACCTGAAAACATTACTGTCCTACCCTGCCCAGAGACACGGGTCGTACTATTTCACATTACGCACCATATTGGTTTTTTTGCCATAATTAAGGCCGCCTGTTGCTTGTTGATCCTTTCATTTGTGGAAAATCTGTTATACATGAGCTCGAGTGACTCGTACGTCTGAAAGTTGAAGTAAGCTGTCACCTCGCTTATCTCGTCACGGTCTAACCAACATCATTTCGCTTACCATGTTCACATGTGATTAGAATTAGTAAACGTATGTTTACGTTTCCGCAGATCTTTGTAAATAATCATAACAAGTTAAGCTACTTTTCTACTATCAAGTAGCAATTTCATAGGAATAATTAATTACAGTTTGAATGGGGGCAGCGAAGTTGCTGGTAAACTCCTTCGTCGACTAACGTTTGTCAGAGAAGCCGGTCCACAGACTTTCTATCTCCATTCTCCAGAATGATCATTGACTGCTTGACATTACCTGCTATGCATGAACGTGAGTACGCCGATAGCTAAGTTAGGGTCGCTTAAATGGATGTTACTATCACAGGGCTATCACACAGCGCATGCAGGACGTATGGCAACGACACAACTATCGATCACCATGTCATACCGGTTACGTCAGATATATCGCTAAACGCTTTTCAAAATTCTCTTCGAACTATTTTAAATTGAATAAAATTGCCCGCGCATCAACGAAGCTATTTCCGGTCGCTCAAAGCCAGCCATGTCAAAGCTCGTTGAAGCTCAGAAGTTCTATTATAACAAGGTTCATATTTATGATTTAACTGTAGCTTCTATTGCTTTCGCTGTAGCACATAAGGACGCTCCAGGCGGCATCTATCTGTGTCGAAAGAGCAGAGCAAGATGATTCCTTAGGGCTCTTTTTTTATATTGCAGTAGAAACCGCTCACCGAATCGTTGTATACAGTAGGTAATAACTGCAGTGATCGTTAAAGTATTGATATAGGATCTGTTCAATTGCGTACGAGCTTTGCTCGTACGTACGCATAAAAACAAGGAGAGAGAAGAATAAAGTCGATCAATAGATGTATAAACGTTCGAAGAGAATATATATATATATACTACATGACAGCGTTGCTTGAAATGATAGTATAGAGGAATTGTGATACCAGTGTAAGGTATAAACTGCTTTCTATACATAGAAGCGGATCCACAGGGCGTATTAACTAGCGTACCACAACTATTACTGTTATAACTATGCTATCAGTGGCAATACATTGCTATTATAGTATAGTATAGTATAGTAGGAGCGGTTAGACAATCTTCTCTCTCTCTCTCTCTCTCTCTCTCTCTCTCTCTCTCTCTCTCTCTCTCTCTCTATCTATCTATCTATCTATCTATCTATCTATCTCTCTCTCTCTGTCTGTCTGTCTGTCTGTCTTTCCCCTCTCCTTCTCTGCTCTCTCTCTCTCTCTCTCTCTCTCTCTCTCTCTCTCTCTCTCTCTCTCTCTCTCTCTCTCTCTCCCCTCTGCATCGCTGCCCCCTCTCTCTGTCTCTCTCCCCTCTCCCTCTCCCTCCCCCTCTCCCTCTCTGCCCCTCTATCTCTCTCTCCCTTCCTCTGTATATAGATATATATGGCGGTAAATTTATCAGCTAAATGTCTCTTTAGAGTTCGTATAGCCATTTTAACAGCACTGACAACAAACAACTGTCTTTAAATGAGATACGTAGGGTGATGTTTTATCAATTATATTTGAAATGTTAAACCTATGTGTACTCATTACATTAGTGTGGATGCTCATTAAATAATGTGTTCCTTGGGGTATTTATTGAAGCTTAATCTGCCATATTTAAATCAGCAGAATGCCGTGGGATTAAAGACGACGTCTGAATCTTCGTTGGGTCTTTTTTGATTTGAGATAGGTCTATAGAAAAGCACCTGTGTGTCTCGCGCTTCTGATAACGAAATATTAGTATTTTTGCGGTTTCCTTCGTGCCCTCACACTATGCGAGGGCCTATTACAAGCACAAGGCCAATCGACCTTGCAAGATTTGTTTAGGAATATTGTATAATGGTATTTATTCAACTGCGAAAGATAACAAATGTAGATAGTTATGATTGTGGATTACTAAATAAAAATAAACATTAATTATAGTCATTAATCAATTCTGTCACCGAAATAATTAAAAATTAAGCGAAAAATGTTATTCTTATTTTGTGTCATTGTTATTATATATATATATATATATATATATATATATATATATATTGAACACATACGATAGTTTATACAATTGGATATTTTGAAAAATACGTTCACACGTTGATTGTTCAATTGATATTGAAGAATAATTTAGCGCACATCGTTCATGAAACTGTGGAGCGCACTCAACTGCAACGACACATTAGCAGCGTTTAAATATGAAGTATTCTTTGATCGGTTAAAATTCCGCCATTCTGCAGATTCTCGACCCACTATGGACGGTGTTGCCTTTACTGCCATGTAACTTGAAGTAGTATTGTATCCTAAGTGTGGATTTGAGGTGAGTGGTAAATCCCGACCTGTTTTCCCAAATGAAGAATTAAGGTGTTACATTAAGCACATTTGTGTTTACAAGTATATACTATATGTTTGAGTGTATCTGATGTGCCGTCAATCCTCAGTATTGTCATTTATTAATAGTGAGACCGAAGAAGACATTACACTGGTCTTCGGTTCCACGGATGAAAGAAGAAAAAATCTATTAATTAGATGTTACATGCCTGTGCCGGTCATTTACGCCCTGAAATAGGACCACGAAAGGCAGCGGCAAAAATACTGACAATATTTGTGTAAAACATGTGAAAAGTCACTAAAATTAATAACAGAAGACTACCATAGTGTGATACAATGTCAATTACACATAACGAAAAAGATGCAAAAGTCAAAAGGAGAAGATGTTAAACATAAAATCAAAAATTATGTGGTAAAAATACATTAAAAAAAAGTAAAATATTCTATTGTAGTCATAATTTATTTGGTTTGGGGGGTATGATGGTATAATGTAGCGAGCTGAAACAAAAAAGCATCCTTTCTAATATTCGTGTCAACGGAACGAATGATATATACACCGTTATGAAAAGTAATGTATTAAGGAAAAAGGATATATTTTGGTTCTAGAAATTATGTTTGTCTGATTACCCATATGTTCCGAGTGTACATTTACGGATGTTGGGCAAAAACATTCTAGATAACGCTCTTCTTGCTCAGGCTCTTGATTCTAAGCTGTGGCATTTTATAGACAGTGAGTTCTGGGCAGCGGGTGTGTAAGCTCATTCAGTTCCTACCCAACCGGTGGTGCTTTCATTTAACTTTATGAAGGCATTCGATTTTCATATGCTTTGTTTCTAAAATTATATCCGAACAAAAACATTTCTTGTATTTGCTAGTTATTAGAAATAGCCTCCGTGTACCTCTTATTAGGAACTTTAATCACTTAATAATATATTCCTTCTCAAATAACTTCTAAAAAGTTATTCGTAATCGTGTATAAAGGGATTTTGGTAAGTCTATGCTCGTGAGGTGTCATTTGAATATGTTCCACACTGACCTAGTGAAATTGAATTTTAAGCTGACAGCAGGGCAGTGATACAAGAAAACAGAGATTTAAAAAGGCAAGCAAGTATTAAATCCACCCCAGTCCATAAACCCTTTCGAAAACAAATGCCATTTTTTGTAGCAATAATCCATTACTTTCAACTGAACACGCTTCATAACGTAATAAAACTACTTCGTAGAAATAGGTGTGTACACTAATATAAAATATCTCAATAGAATACAAGCTGTATGGGCAACGAATTTCGTTTGTGATGGAAAATTTTGAATTTCGACTACTAAATACATTAGTTAAAAAATTATATATGACGATAATTTTTACTCTCCTTGAAACCCATTCCTTTGAGTTTTTGAAAGGGTTTTAAATCATGCTTGTGTCTAAGACCAAATACCAGCGGGGCAGATTTGGGCCGAATGTGAGGCTCAACTCCGGCGGTCTACCTACTACCTGCCGAGATTTCTACTCCCTATCTCTAAATTACTCTATTAAAGGTTTCGCTCCGAACAAGCCCAAAACTTTAGTCATTGGTATAACGGGGAAATGGCAGGTGCCTACCGAATCAATTAGTAGTCTCCGGCAGGTTTTCCACTTCGCGAAACGCATGTTGTTCCGCTCTGAAATTATGATCCCTTCGAGTATCCTGTTACTTAGACTGGTTTAAAAAAGTAGCAATATTTTCTACTGGTAATCATTCGAGTTACTCCAACGCGGTTTTTTCCAATAGAATTTCGTTCGCGAGAATTTTCTTTGCCTTTCACTGATAGATTGGTTCATTGAATGGAAGTTGTAACGGACGAAGTCGAGCAGGCCGTTTTTCAAGGCCATTATTGCTTTTCCGTGCGTAAACCTGTATCTAGCCTGTGCAGGACCTTTGCAGACAGCCAGAGTACTGTGCAGATAATCTTTATATCTCCCAGTGCAGAGAAGGCAGATGATCGTTTCACCCTTTATTATTCGTACTAGAAAAGTTCGAAGGTTCCCGCGCCCATTTAAAAGGTGAGTGTGGAAACTCTATGGGCCCCTTTCCAAATCTACCAATTCAGTTAGTAATCTTTAAAGTTACATACCGTGTAAGCGCACTAGGATTAGCCCTTCGGATTGTCTCCCATTCAGCTTGCCAGGCAATCGTGGTTGTTTACGGTTCCTCGTAAACCGTAGTCTTAGGGTTTCCCTATACTCTTCTACACTCAGACGCCTTGAGATGCTATAAGATCGAGGCCTCGTGTTAACGCTTTTGAGCGCTTGAATTACTTTCAGCGCCAGTATACGCTGTGTGCTCCGGAGCCGCTTCTTCGAACAGTGCACCGTCGCCATCGTCAGTGCTCCGAACAATACAATCGACTCCGCTGCAAACATCAATTCGCCTCCTTCCTTTCTTGCAGACAGATATATCGAGCATTAATCTAGATAGCTCTGCTATAGTATTTTTACCTTAGCTATTGCTAGAGTGAAATGTAACGTTTCTGACATGCTCCTATTGAATGGGGTCGTGGCAGCGGCTGCTCGAAACCCCAAGCTAAACATGTTTGATTAAGTAATGAGCTACTCTGGCGTATTTATTGCGAAAAGTACAATATACAGGGCACGGTGGAGCTACATAGGCCAAAGCTTAACGCTGTTGTTGTATACAAGCCAAGAAAACAGAAAAGAAAAAAAATATATCTCTTAAAAACGTTCCTTTTCTTTGAACGGAATTGGCTGAGTAGAATTAATTTATTTTTGAGAAAATATCATTTAAAGGACATTTATCACCTTGCCTCCTATAGTTCCATAAGTCGGGGTTACCTGCGTCGGAGGTAAGGAAATACGAGCCTCTAGTTTATCGTGGGAAGGACTCCGTCATTCAAGGAAGCTGAAGGGAAAAAAACTGGAGAAACCAGTACTTTTTAATTATTTATCGCCAAGTTAGACAGGTCAAAGGTTATGATTTGTCTATCATAAATCTGCGTAAAGTTTTATTACGCCGTGTAAAATCGGCTTGAATAGCACTCCCGTAACTAGCATTTTGTTCGGAAAAAGAAAAGGAAGAGTATCAATATCCGCCCCGTTGTCCAAGGTCAACTTAGCTAGACTGAAATTTGTGTGACTAGGGAGGCTATGCATGATTCTGGCGTAGTTATCCACCGCAAACTCTGATTTATGGTTATCTGCAGTGTCCACAATATTGTTCTGTCCGAACGATGCGTTAAGTACAAAAAAGCCCCTAAAATTTACTCCAGGCAAGGCAGTCGCATACGATACAATGTCGACCATAACGATATGTGATACAATGAGCGCACTATGATGCTTATATACACATATCCACATTTCTACTCTGAATTGTTCTCTGAAGCCATCGGTTTCTGTGTAAAATTAGCATCGACGGCCTTCGGCTTCATATGTGTTCGAAATGCGGTGACCTATATAGCTTCCAAAGTGATTACGTGAATTTATTCTGCTTCCTTATATATAGATACATACTGTGAATAACAAAGCTGTTAGAGGGAATTGCAATTTACCCTACCTCAAGCAGCCTCTTATCTATAGACTTGGGCCGCATTCATCTAGAGGCTATGGATTTGGGCCGCATTTTCCTAGAATTTACTTTATTACTCTTGTTCGCGATGCGCATCACTACATTAAGCCACGCTAGCGGACCATGTTTCTCAACATATTACCGGATATCCTTTCCATTCACGGTCAGCTGCCGACCGCGGGGTGCCGGCACCCAATAGTCATGTGGGACCACCCAACTAACAATGCCTGCAGTAATACT